TTCGCAGTTTCACAATTAAAAGCCATGTGACCATATACTTTACATTTTCGGCACTGAATCTTAGGGCAGGCTTTCTTTTCATGGTCAGGAGATAGACACTTAAAGCAAACTTTGCTTTGATTATTGTGTAAAACTTTGAAAGTCTGTGGGCCATCAGGAGTGTCGAATTGCATCGCCCACGGGAGCGAATGGAAATTGGGTGGGAACTTGCACTTTACGTGGCGTGTGCCGTCAGCAACATCGGGCCTCTGTTTATAATAATGTCTGACTACATTATCGACAATTTCAATTTTATACTGTTCTAGTTTTTCCGTAATTACTACGTCGTCGATATGACTGGGGAGGTTGAAGATCGATACTACTGTGTTTTTAGAGAAGCATAACTCAACGGAGTACTTATCATTATTGATATCTAATCCTTCTTCGCATAATTTAATTGCATTTACTTCAGAGTCTACAGTTATTTCTATGCTGCTGGGGGGACGAGGGACACATGCAAAGCACGAACCTTCTCCGATACTACTCTCTACTGCTTCGATAAAATCAATCATACTAACATTTTTAATGTCAACATTAGTTACCTTCACTGTGTTCTCTTTGGCGTAGCGTCGTCCCGACGTCGCCATTTTATTAATCCAGAAAGCACCGCCGCTATCCTATGCGGGGTGGAGAATATCACAGAAAAGTTCAAATATCACAGGAAATATATATCACAGGTAAAACAATATCACAGTTATTGGGGCCAAAAGGCCCCTAAAACGCTGTTTATAAACAAATCTACACTATATATAATGTCTCTTTATACACAAAATCTATTTACAAGTCACTACTACTAACCACTAGTAATAAAGTCTCGCTTGGTTGAACTTCAGAGCGAAGGTAAACACGTCCTTACACTGTGAAAGCGGAAGCTAGACTGGCTAGACAGACGCTCTAACCCCTGAGCTACGGCGCCTTGATGAATGCCACCTGAACGCTCGTCCGAAACAACGCTGTTCATTGGACTAAAAGTTTGTGTTGGAAGCGCCTTTGGATTTATCAAAGATTTTCATCCACCTCCGACGGGACTCGAACCCGCAATCCCCGGCTGTCTCTCACCGCGTTTAGCTTAGGAGGCCGATGCCTTATCCATTGGGCCACGGAGGCTGTAATTCTCAGTATTTCCAGTGATATTGGTGCCGCAGTCAGGGCCCGTAAAGTGCATACACGGCGAAATGGGATTGAACGGCGCTCTTCTCATGTCCTCGGTAGTATAGTGGTCAGTATCCCCGCCTGTCACGCGGGAGACCGGGGTTCAATTCCCCGCCGGGGAGGATGAGTTTTTTTTTTATTTTTGTTAACTCTACTTTCGGCAGCGCATTTCCTTTAAAATTCATTGGTATTCTTTCTCCCTCCTTTGAACAGGGAAACACGGAGAAAAGAGTATTACACATGAGTTTTGATTGCATGACACAGGGCTTTTGTTTCCCTTCTCGCAGCACCCTGCCCAATCAGGTACGGCGGTGTCCGTGGGGCTGGTGGATGAGGCTG